GTTGTTGCTGTGGTCACTCTATTGGCCAACAATAGCAAAAACCCTTGCCGTAAACCATGCTCATGCCTCTTTTGTCAAATGCACGCGAACGACAAGAACAGCAACAATAGTAACAACATCGATTACTGTCTTTGCCACACAACAGAAATTGTCCGATACGGATCGCCATCTAGCGACGAAGTTGCTCGCCGAAAGGTGAAACGCGGCGCCTGTCAGTGTCTAGAGAAGCTTTACCGATAACAGGCCGGCCGCAGACCTGTTGGTGGATTTACTTGTCCGTTGTTTACGAACGCTCGCTGGTGGCAACACGCCCCCGCGCTGTCGGTCATAACACAGCACAGACCGACTAGATACCTAACTACTCAACCAACATGTACCGGCTGGGAGCGTCTGTTTGCATGTATCTGATACATTGCGATCATTAAGAAAGCAAGCAATATAACGCCGCGTACAATAACCAATACCAAACACATAGAGGTGAGGCAGAACGAAATAGAAGTATGTATGGGTGAAAGCTGCTGCCTTCAGCCACCCATCCAACTGACCAGCCACAAAAGATCAGCATTATATTTTAGATCTCACTGTTTAGGCCGCCGCAACCGCGAACGAGCAGAGTGTTGTCGAAGTTACTTTTGCTGTTATTCTTCTGGAGCTGATCTGGTACGCTGGTAGGGGGCAACTTTTTGGTACGATTTTTTCTGGGTAGAGGCTTCCCCCGTTACTGTGTCATCCGCAATCATTGTGAGAGTAAGATGGAGGAAAATGACAACTAAAGGTATAGCAGCGCCAGCATCAGTGCGTACCAGTTTTTTTTCTGATTTCGTTTGAAGGGGGAAGAACGACTATTTCGATCAGATCGGGCTACTGGAATAGTGGAATACTAGCACGTGTTGTTTTTTTGAAAGCGAAAGCCTTCTCATATTCATTGGTTAAACGCCGACGCGCGGAACGAATCGTGAAATGTTAATATTCAGAAAAGTCTGCTGTGCTGATATTTAATAGTGTAGAATGGGACTATAATAAATGACACAATGGTGTATGACGGCGTAGGCATTCTTCGTCACAAATGCACAGGCCGTCAGAAAGGATACCCGCGCGTTAGGATTTCCTTTATTTTGCTAATAACAATTATGTCTATTCGTCATAGATTATCTAGATCAATTTGAGCTATATATATATCCGTTGCTTAGTATGGACTCATTATAAACAGACGTAGGAAAACATTATTTGTTACACCCATATAGGCTGATGTTCTGTTGAAAACAAGCATGACGACATGGACATTATTTTTTGTGATTCGATGCGAGGGGCGACGTATGCCTCGAACAGCGCAAACAAAATAGGAATTATGCTTAATGCCTGTCTGCTCTTAGGTGAGGCTACTTACAGGAGTTTTGCGGATAAACAGTACTTCTGCCAAATGACTCATAATCAGATCGCGTCTCAAATATTGTTTTTGGTTCACGTAGTGATTATTGTGGGAGCAAACAGCAGTGGATGAGTTCTTTTTTGTTTCCTTTTGATTTTGCGGCAAGTAGGCCTTTTTCTGCCAAAAGGCATGAGGGACATTTTTTTCTCGTTGAAAATATACACATCGTAGCTAGACGGTTTCGCCTATTTATGACGAAATTAAATAGTCCGGAGTATATTGCAATGACACTATTGTTGAAACACTGCTACACACAACAGGTAAATGTCAAAAAAAAAGAGACTGTATAAGTAGATTTTTCTCGAATACCCTTTTCTGGGAGTCCTTTCCGTGTAGCCATCGTTCTTCTAAGTCGTTTGTCTTCTCAAAGTGTTGTAGTTTTAGGCTTGGTGCGAAAAACATAGCACAAATATTCAGCGATCATAAATCTGAAACACATTTTCATTTTTTCCTGTCTAGCCTTTAACTTGTCCATCTTTGTTTAGGTCTCCATAATCTGTTTAGTAATTGTTTGATTGCTTTGGTAGTCAGCTTTAACTAATCAGCTTTTCGGTACGGAAAGTCCTGTCCGAGTTTCTCTGACCGTATGTAGTTAGCGGCAGATCGTCCAACTTAAGTTGAAATCGCCCCCGTACGCCCATCTAATCGTGAATCTACATCGCGCGTAGCGCAGCCGCATAACTTCGAAATTCGTAATCTTCAATGTATTGCTCTCACTAAAATGGCTGACGGTAACGCTTCAGTCGACAGGTGACTTTCTTTATAATGTTCTCCGCGTCATCGCTATGAATCTCTCTCTGTACGCTTGCTTTGACGGCAGTCAGCATAGGCATAGCGTGGACGTGCTCGCTCCACGGCAACGGCCGCAATAAGCTATAATGGAACACGCGAGTACGCCAACGATGAAAACGGTAATAACGACTGCGATGATGAAAGTGATGATTGTAAGGTTTATGGTGCTGTTGATGGCGCGTATGGTGATATTATTCGTGGGCAAAGCTACGCGCGTATCACGAGGGTGAAAGAAAAAGAGCAACCGTGGCCACAGCGACAGGTTTTCGCTTCGAGAAGCGCAAACAGCAGCGGTGGCGACACGTTAACAAGGCCAACGTGAACAGCGACACTAGATCGATGTTGCCGCCGCTGTCTGTTGCGTCTAACCGATCGGCAGAACGAAAAGAAATATTCGAAGAGATGACCGGCTAGCTGAGTGCATGCTTTGGCATTGGCCACCGATATCGTCATTGCAGTTTCGTTGCGTAGAGCCTTGATTGCCAGAGTTAGTTGGGTCTATTGCAGTAGGCTGCTACTGCCGCTGCTGTTGCCGCAGAGCTGCCAGCAGCGGCCAATGCCTCCTTCGTTTGACGGATGCGGAGAAGGCCTTGAGACCTGTGAACGCAACAAACACAAGTCGACGACCTATTATTTACGAACGCAAAGGCGGTGCCAAGAAACGAAAGCGGCAGCAGCAGCAGCAGCAGCAATCGCAACGACAGAGAACGATTCTCCTAATGCGTGTAGTGACGCTCGCGTTTAATAGATTTCGGTGAACGCGATTTGGGTAAATAGGCGTACATTAAATCTAATACTGGCAATGTAGTTGACGACATTGTTCCGCCAAAGAGTAGTCCGTAAACCGAGCAACTGTTAGCCTTTAAGGCTCTATTAGTTAGGAAAAATTGTTACAGGCGATACAAAAACAAGCATCGTTTGACAACGATTATCTTTGCTTGGACTCATACTATTAGTATGGTATGACCACGATATGAAATGGTCTTTTCGTTGTGCTGCGCTTTGGATACACGTGTTGCTGTTACCTATAAAAAAAAACACTCGGTCATACTCCACCGCCGACAAGAAGCCGACAAAACGGTGCGATATAACAGTAGAGACATAGAATATAAAGATCCACGCTTCGTCCACTTTTTCCCGAGTCAGTTATTCCATCGTTTTTTTTTTTTTTTTTCGGTCAGACCTTAAATATTCACAAAAATTGCCATGGTGCACACATGTGCTTCATCATGTCCTGTCTTATGGTCAATACTACTGATTATCTCGCTCTTTTTTCTAAGTTAGCATTTATAGTTTGCCATTTTTGTGCCTAATTTTATTGGACAGCCGATTGCTAGCGTTGGGTTGAAGCTCAGTGATGCTTAACTGTTGGCAGAAATGTGAACGGGAACGCTTTTTGAACTATATAAAATGATTCTAAAAGATTGGAATTATTCCAATCGGAAATTCACTATTCTAATGGATAATAAGTGCCGCAGAGCATCAAAGGGAAAAACAATGTAATTAAGTGTCACAGAAGTATACGATACGATACGACGGGAAAAAGATATCTGGTGCCGTCTAGTGCCTAGACGAGTGTAAAATAAGCAAAGGGAATATGCAGTACGTCCTTTTTTCTTTGCCTGCAAGTTAGTGAAATAGTATGTTTTAGAAAACCAAGATTCGCCAGCATTTATTTATAAATGGGGAAATATTTGATGCATGCCTAGACCCACATCGACTAAGAACCTGGGGCTGGCGGGAGATTCAGGGCCTAATTCACTGTTGGAATTCTGTCTACTACGACTCTTTTGCAAACGTACCGAATGGGTGAAAAGATTCTAGAAAATAGTATCCACCTACCGAAAGTGAGTAGAAGGCGAACATAGAAACTCTGCCCCAAACGTGGCAAATGAACGAATTCTGCCACCTGGAAAATAAGTCTGGTGCCACTGTTAATATATGATGAGTATATGAAACAATGTCTTTTATGCTTATTATCAAAAAATGCTCTATTTTACTGGCGTGCTAGGTGAGAATAACGAGTTCACCTTGATTAGAGGCATCACCTTCCTACGTGCTTGTATTTTATTGTCTAGAATGATTTGCGCGATAAAACCGTTTACTAATTCCGCAATGAATTACTTCAATAATATACGTGGGAAAGAGTATAGATGTTTCTCTTTCTAAAAGACTATAATGTGTACCCCGCACATTTTCAATGCGTACCGGTATTTTTTCCTCGATTCTTTTCGGCGACGAACTAGCTTTAAATATCTTTCTCGTATATTCGAATGCAAGTAGCGTTTCTCTTATTATTACGGAAACCATTAACTAACAATCAAATCTCGGCGTTGCCAAAAATTACTAGCTAGAAAATTCAGGAATATACGAAATTAATAAACTGAGGAAAGTATAGAATAATCATTATTCTCGAGGTTAATATCTACTTGTATGATTACCACACCGTTTCATAAGTTTACTGGAGAAATCCCGGATAGGGCCAATAAGACCCACCCCGATTAGAACTCTAACAGAGACAAGTCGTTGATGCTATAAGATTAATTCTTAAACTGAAAGAGCTAAAAGAAAACATAGAAAACGAAATATGATCATCCCTCTGATCCTCCGAAGTTTTTCTATTGTGTTTTCGATCGATTCCCATCTAAGCTGCAAGAAAAGCACAGTTCAAGCCACTCTAACCAAAAAAAAATTTGACCTAACAAATGACCTGGAAAGGGCCTGCAATTAAACAACAATACTAAAGTGGTCAACGTTTTGTGTAATGATGTTTTTTTAGGTTAGTGGAGGGGACGCCAGTTGGCCGCAATGACATCGGGCTGACGGGCTGACACGCACGGTAGAGGTTCCCACTGTAACTTCTCCCGGTAAGAAAATTCCTATTTTCATTGTATTTTATTTCGTCGCTAAAATGTTTGTTATTATATATTTCTTACATGTTTTACATTTCGCGGTTACAAGGGAGCGATGCGTAACCCATCGACGTCTTTATCAGTCACATAAAAACGCTGTTCTCCAACCTTTGGAGTGAATTAAGGATTATTTTTGAAACGCTCTTGAAAATATAAGAAAGAGAGAAAGAAAAAGGAAAAGCATCCATGGTCATGTGTTGCATATTCATTTTCACGCTTGAGGTATCTTTTCACTTTTTCCTTTTGGTAATCGAATCAGCGTTCTTAAATCCCTTCCCTCCAGAAAAAATCTGCCGATTCATCGCTTCAAAGAATTAGAGTTTCGATAACAATGGGCTCAGGAATGACTTATGCACTGTGATATAGCACTTTTATCGCACTAAACCGTTTGGAGTTGTAACGGTTCTCAATATTGCTAGTTCAGCTATCTACTACTGATGATACCGAATCGATTAAGGAGCTTAATAATAAATAGAATCAGTATTAATTATTTCTAAAGTTTCAATGTGGGTCAGCTGACAACATTTCGGGTATTTTTGTATAAACTAAAAAATGCATCCATCATCCCACAACAAAAGGAAAGTTAGGTTTCGGCATTATGCTACTTCATTAACGTGCCATTGCGGAAGCAGCGATATCTAATTATCAAATGCGAAATATCTCTCCTCTTATACTTTTTTTTCTTGCATTAAAATAGCTACGCATGTATCCCGATTGTTGCATTGTCTTTTCCCTGCAGTGACCGCTTCCCAGCACTGCACTTACCGCTCATTCATATTTGCAGGCGCGTGCAAACGACCCCATAAAATGCTCGAAAAAATGTAACCCGTTTTGGTGGAGGTCAACTAAGACCGAATGCTACCGAACGCTAATGACAATCCTGTCAACGTCTATACGGTAGTCCGCCGGTGCCTCCACCATTAAGAAACAAACAACTGCTTGTATTTTGGTGCTGTGTATATGTGTGACTGGCCCTAATCTTCGATCTAGTTGGTTGCCTAACCTTCCTGACACCGTCCTTTGCTGCTGGTTCCTGACAGCTCCGTCGGTGCTCTTTTAAAAACGATGGTAGCTCCGTGTGGAGCAGGACTTGACAGATCTGCGTCAGTACATAAGTCCTGCGATTCGGAAGATGCGGAAGCCGAGGTGCGTCAAGCGTAAATGCATCACTACTTTTTTCACAAAATATTGAGCATAGAATTAGTTCGAACGATTTTTGCTGTTTTTTCGCATTGCAGGACAGTCAATGTGAATCAGAAGGTAAAATGTTTGTTTGTTTATTAAGTAGATACGAACTCGAAATTTCTGCTACTCTTCCTGTGTTTGCGCGTAGGTCGTGAATGCATTCAGCTCGTCAACTGGAGCGTCAACGATTGTTAGTTCGACCAGCAGAGGTGGCACGGTGATGGCGTTGGGTGAGACTGTAACAGATACCGAGGATGAAGCTGAGAGCGGAGTCGTCTCAGGCGGAACAGCCTCAACGAAAAAACCCGCTAAACGAGGCGAAGCTCATGGAAGGCGACGCAATGCAGATGGCACCACAAAGGTCGGCCCTTGTAGGGGGACAGATAGTATTGACAGCGGTCATGGTAAGTACGTCTTATGGCTTACCACATCCACATGATGTCGTTGACCGGCTTCAGGCCGACACATTGAAGCATTTGCAGAGAAACTGTATAATTGAGAGTGAGGTTGTCTGTAAATGTATACAGAGGATAAGCTCAATTGCAGTTAATTAAGTACTATTGAACCAGTTCGTTGAATTTATTGATTCTTTTGATAGAACGGGTATTTCGTCCAATTGAGGTGTGCGTCGAGACGATTGAGTCGGTGCAATGAATTGTCTAAACCCCCATCGGTATGAAAACTATGAAGCTTAATAATAATAGTTGAATCTAACACACTTTACGAATGTGGCAAAAGAATCTATGAAAGAAGACGGTTAACTTCGTCGGCGGTGGCCTTATTTTGGTAAATAGTTTATCGTGTGTGTTTCAGGCGGAGCTACCCCCGTGTCGACAACAAGTTGTTCCCCAACGATGGGCAGTAGCAGCAGCGGACCGGCGTCTGCATGTTCTGGTCCGCCGGAACGATCCATGTCTTGGACGGACGAGGAAGAACATACAGTTCCACCAAGCGCCCCGAGCACAAAGGACCTGATGGTCATCACAGATTCAGGTACAACCCGCATTCAGACAAGTAAAAGTGCACAAGAGCAAAACGTTATCGAGACCATGGCGTCACAACACGTGGCTCGACAACGACGGCTAGAGGACAATGAAGACTCAGAAATGGAGGATATCGAGGAGACAGGCATTACGGCAGACGACGAGCCTGAGATAGTTCTGTCGAGTCATCACGGACTTCCAACGACCGTAGATGGCAATCGTAGTGGTGAAGAACGCCGTCGACACAGCGATGAGCATGATGACGCTGATGAAGATGTTGATGAAGGACACGAAGTAGGCGAAGATGAAGACGATGACAGCAAACCCTTATCGCTGACAGTGGCGAATAAAGGACGCCCCAATAAACTTAGGGGACCGAGAGAAACCAGCGTCAACAATAACAGTGGAGCAGTTTCATCAAGCAGTAGTAATGAAATGCCAGCTCCTGTGGCTCTAACTAGTGCTGGTGCCGTATCGAATGGAGGCAACCGTAATGGGGCAGGAGGTCAAATGAAACACCGGGGCAGTCCTAGACCAACATCAAGCTCATCATCTCGTTCTTCGTGTTACAGCCCCTCACAAAGTCCTTTGATGCAGGTTAGTTAATTATCCAGTTATCTGTTGGCTAAAAATAAAACTAAACATTGGTGCGGATTTGTTATTGCAAATATGCCTATTCAGAAGCTAAGCGTTTCAAATTTGAAAACGAATTTTTTATTCACTTTAACTAACCAGGAAGTTCCATCATTTAGGCTTAGCGAATTTGGCTACTATTTGCATTATAGATAATAGAGTAGTTATAATTTCGATTTCAATATCGTGCAATCGAATTAATATGTAAAAGGGAATCTGATGTAGTTTTAAGTGAGAATATGGAACACCAGAGCAATAATGCAGCGATTGTCCTGCAGATAGAATGACCTACCGCAGTATATTTTACACCGAAGTTTACAATATGTAGTTCTATGACGCGGGACAATTATCTATTGATTTAAATTTTTTAGCGTACAACAACGCCAATGTATGCAAGCGGCGGTGGATCAAGTGGAGGAGGCTCCCTAGGAGCGGGGGCCAGCTCCTCAACATACTCCCCATCGAGTAGCCCCGGCGTACACCCACTACGCCAGCTAAGCATGAACTCGGCAGCCTCTTCCGAAAAGGTCGAACGACCCGCCGGCATGGACGCCGGACACGGAACGAACGATGGCCGAACTCCAGCGTCTGCATCTGCTGTGTCGATTCTGGAAACTAATCCTCCAACGTCAGCGCACCTCTTTACAATGGGCGATTTTGCAGCTGCAGCGATAAAAGTCGCCCAGGCACAAGGTGTGTCCCTGTCAGGCGCCTTTAGAACAGTTTATTTCCTTCTCCAAAGTAGCTAATATTTCAATAATTAAAAGGGCGGTTGGAAACGCCGGTTGAGCCTGCTATATTGAGTTCAATACAACTTTAATAAAAGTTCGCAAGGTTTTCATGTCCCAGCAAACCTGTTATGTCCTGTATGAGCCAGCAGCAGTTATAATTTTAGGTAAAAATGATGAATCTACGCACATACGTTCGCATAATACCACCAACCGCCAGCTAAATACGTGCCCTAATATCGATCGTATAGGCAGGCCAAACTGCGTAGAAAATTTTTTTCAACTTTTCTATTGCATTTATCTAGCGGTCGATTCATGATATCTATGCGTTATATCTTATTTCTATTTGATTCCAAACAACATATGTCCGGTAAACCCATTATTCATCGGTTCACCTACTAGTGCTGGACTGTTCTTCATGTTTAAGTTGTGTCAACCGCTTCTCCTGGCTGATATGTTTCATTGCACGTAACCCAGTGTTGACGAGCAAATATGTCCAAGCCATCTTCGTCAGTGCACGTGATAGTGAACGTTCCCGCGAACAACAGTATACGTTCATGCCCGAATTCAGATAATGTGACGTTTAATCACATCGACCCAATCTATGTGGTTTGTAAAGTGCGATCATCAGACCGTTACAAACGACTCTAGTAGCGATGTAGATACATGCGAAGTGGCAGTCATTGCAGACACACGCACTTATCACAGCATACGAGCACAGCCAGTAGATTAGCACAACAGGCTTTTCAAGGCCATGCTTTGGCCTTTCATACACGTCACTTAAGCCTTGGATAGGTGTGGTTGACTTTGTTGAAACATTGTTCAATTCACTATTTTTTATCAAGTTCTTGATGGATATCTTCGACGCATCTATGGGTCGGTAGGCAAACCACGTGGGCAGGTAAAGTTATTAGGAGGGTAAAGCTTGCAATACGTGACCTGCGTATAAAAGTAACATATTGGAGCGCTTTCATGTTTGCACACTCCTACAGTGCAAAATAGATGTAACCCTTTTGAAGTAAGCCTTCGATGCGAAACTCATGTGAAGGTTTCGCATCGAAGAATACAATATACCAGCACCAAGACGGATCGCCGAAATGCTAAGGAAAGTTCTCCAATGTGAGCTGGCTCATTTTTCTCTCAATATTGACGAAGTTATCAATGAAAATGATCGCCTGCGCGCTTGAATTATCTGTGACGGTACAACGGAACCAAAACACAGCTTGGCATCGTCTTAATTGCTTTTACAGTTAATCGACTTGCTTGATTAAACTGATTCTGATTAGCCATTTCTATTTCATATACAAATAATGAGGAATATACACGCACGCTTTAGTCGTAAAAGAACTGTCACTATAATAAAGCATTGAACTTTCCTGAACAGGAGCACGTCTGCACCCTTGAATTAACTTAAGAGACCTGTAACTTAATCGAATCCCTTTTTACTAACTGCTCTCGTTATTTTAGGCGTGATGCTTGCCAGCGGTGGGACAATCTCATCCACAGTTTTGTCCCATTCCGATGAAAGCAATGACTACGGCCCGCAGGTAGGAGGTCCTGGAACAGGCTCAGAACTAGATGGAGCTTTTCCATCAGCACTATTTTCAGCTGCAGGTGGATTCAGTCGACAGCAGCTCCTCTCAGGGCCATGTCCGATATGTGGAGACCGGATCTCCGGATTCCACTATGGTAAGAAAGACAGTGCGTCGTATCTTTGTACAGAACTATAAAATATTTTGGTACAAACCAGTAGCAGTCCAACATTTGCTTGCCCTTGCTTTCAGAATATTATTTTTGTTCCAAACATAAGAGAAAAATAACAAGTTCACAAGCGATAGAATGGTTCATGTAATTGCTTATTAAGGACTAATGGCGATCGGCAAGTATACGGACAAGATAGCTCGTCCGTTTTACCAGCATTGAAATCGAAGGCAACGATTACTGTCAAATTATTATTTGTTAAAAGCTTACTACTTTGTTGTATGTCTTATTTGATTTACACCTAATCTTAAACTGCCATTTTAGTGCCCAGTTTTAGTTCCATACACATAAAACCATAAAATGGTAAAAGCTTTCTTCTTAAACACCAAACATAGTTAGTATTTGTTTTAATCCTTTTTCTTCTTTATAGGTCAATCGTTAGCAAATTCTATTGTAAAATCGATTGTTTGAAAGCCGCTCCTGTAGAGGCTTTATAAAGTCCTTAAAATAACCTTTTCAAATTTTGGAAAGACCTGAGTTTTTCGGCAATTGTGAGATATGCTTGTCCCATTTAAACATTTTACTGGAAGTTTGAATCGTGTATAGATTTCACCTACGACTGAACAGTTGCATTTGACTAAATCAATATATTATTTATTAAGTAAGGTCGTGAGTTGTCGTTTGAGGATTTTTAAGCCGTTGCTGGTATCGCTGTGAAGGTTTGTGTGAAGCAACGTTTGGTGATGCGCAGGAGCATTATCAGTTAGTTCAGTGGTTTCAATGGTTCCCTTTCTAATTCTCCTCTCGTTTTTCCTATTTTTCATATATGCATATCATTCGAAAACTAGTTAATTTTCAGAAGCTGGTTCATTATTTCTAAAAACTTCAATTCACCTATTACAGGCATATTTTCCTGTGAGTCATGCAAAGGCTTCTTCAAGCGCACCGTTCAAAACAAAAAACATTACGTATGTCTTCGTGGCGCCAACTGTATGGTGCAGGTGGCTACCCGAAAGAAATGCCCAGCTTGTCGCTTTGACAAGTGTCTCAAGATGGGCATGAAACTTGAAGGTGAGTCAATTGAACTGCCTTTTGAAATAACGATATGAACATAAATCATCGAAAATCCGAATAGCCTCTGCCTTTTTTTCGTTTTGAGTATATTGACTTTTAATGCGCACTTGACGGTATCGTGCAGCTATTCGCGAGGATCGGACCCGTGGCGGGCGCTCGACCTACCAGTGTTCCTATGGTGGAACTGGATTTCCTTCGCTTCCGCCAACGACGCCCCCTCACGCAACTGGAACCAGCAGCGGTGGCGGAGGTATGACAACGCCGCCATCAATCAGAGACTCCCATTTCAGAGGAGATAGTAATCGAGGCGAAACTGGAGCCAATAACAATAGTGGAATAGGCGGTCATGGCCGCGAATCAGCTGGACCAACGCCGCCGCCAGCCTCGGGCTCAGCACACGACTCACTGCCGCGTGATATTCATGGCCATCTGAGAGTTGGTGCAGAAGCGCACCTTGAACCTATCGCTCTCGTGCACAAAACTAACAACAGGTGTGTATAAATTAAAAGCGGCAAAAAGTACCATTCATCATGATGTCGATCACCCTGTAGAATAGATCATCGACTTGCACGCGTATTGATCTTGTGATCAAAGATTAAGAACGATGAAACAACGGAAACTTGTATGGAAACCACGTATGAACCGTACGTACGCACTGAGCAGACATTTTGGCACATAGTTTTCTCAAAAAATAAATAATACATAATTATCGTTGCTGGGCTTGCAGCGTAAAAATTCCACGCACCTCATCATCATCAGTGATCACATCCTCGGAGCCCCGTGTCGCCTCAGCTCTTAAACACGCACCCTCACCGCATAGTGCCCCCACCGGAGCTTTAGCAGGTTTAGCAAGTTCAAGCGGCCTAGGCCCACTAGGTGCCGTTGTAGATCCGACACTTGGGTATCCTCCAGCGCTTGTTACTTCGCTTCTCATGCATCCGAATGGACACCATCAGCTGGCAGCTATGGACGCGACAGCTTCAGCTGTAGCCGTACAATCTGTAGCCGCACATGCGGGAGGGACAAGTGGGAGCGTGCCGTCATCCCACGGTGTCGGCGTCAGCGGACGCAGAGGTGCTCCTTCACCTATGCCGGTCAGTGAAACACACCACGCGCAGCACCCGCGACATGTGGGTGGACCGCCGACGGCTATGGACACGTTGGAAAGAGAAAGTAACGGACTAGGGGGTTATCAAAACGGTAACGCGGTCACACATCGGTTAAATAGCAGCGCGACAACGTTAGCTATAACGACAACGCCGCCTGGCGTAACAACAGCTGCTAGCAGACGGCGGGGTTCTGACACTGTACCTTCTGACGATGTCAGTGCAAATGACCAGGTACGAATAGTTCTAATGCATGTAATGTTTTTATCATGCCGCACGCACGTACGCTTTCTGTATGTATCTTTGTCAAAAAGTTAACCTCTAGCGAACCGTAATTTTGATTTACTTCAGGTGTCTTCTGGAGGCAGTGCTGGTATCCCACAACTGATTCAGGACATTCTCTCCGTGGAACATTTGTGGCATAACTCGGAGAGGAGCACTAACCCTGGAGATGGTGGACATAGTGGCCAGAGTACCACACGAGATCTTCATCGCGAGAAGGAAAATCATTATCAGCCTATTCATAGCAATAGCGAGATGGATGAAGTTGAAAATCAGCCATATCAAACGCACCACGCTTTGATAAGCAAGCACGAGAGACGTCTTCAACACGGAAGCAACGCCGTTGGCAACAACGGCGACGGAATGCGAGACGAAATGGAGCTAGGTGAGGAGGCCATGGAGGCCACTGACGACCCCCCGTCAGCAGGATCAGGCCAGAACGGTGGCGCGGGGGCGGCCAACGATCTGCTGAGCTCATTGTGCAATATCGCCGACCATCGGCTGTACAAGATTGTCAAGTGGTGCAAAAGCCTTCCTCTATTCCGCGACATCGCAGTTGACGACCAGATCGCCCTGCTGATCAATTCGTGGTGTGAGCTACTGCTGCTCGCCTGCTGCTTCCGGTCTATGGCAACCACAACTGGTTCTCACGGAAATCGCCCTGCGGAGTTGAAGGTGGGCCGCGGTCGCTCCGTGTCGTTGGCACAGGCACGACAGTGCGGGATGGGCCCCGTCGTGGAACGCATGCTCAACCTGACTGATTTATTGAGGAGACTAAAGGTTGACCACTGCGAGTTCGTCTGCCTTAAGGTCATAGTCCTGCTCACATCAGGTCAGTAATCGCATACTTTGAGAAACGGATAATTTAAAGTTCGCAATGCAAAGCTAAGCGGAAATAGCCGCGTTCCTATTCTTCTCTATATAGAACAGGCACTACCGTGTCACCTCAAATAGAGCATGGCCCATAAACTCTACCTGTTTAATTAGGAAAAAGCTGTGCAAGGGTACAGGTTTTGAAATAATGAACTCAATTTATTTTACAATTTATTTTATAAATTACTCAAGTCCCCTATGTACAGTGAAATTCATTTGAGATGGCATAGATAAGTTCTTAGAGGACAGCGTGTGCCAAATCTTGCCAGAACAACACGTAGCTGACAAGGAACTCTGCACCTAACCAAGGTGATAGTACGTAAATGGACCTATAAGAAAGTTGCGACGGTAGTTAACTTCGTGTCACCACATAGAGGCTTGGTAGATGTATGAGCGCTAACAAATCGACTTCGCTTGCCCCGCCTATCGATTATGCTTCTGCAGATGCATCGGGATTGCAAGACGCAGAGCAGGTTACGGCTGCGAAACGACGAGTTTTAGAAGCACTGCAAGCCTACACAGCCGCGCATTCGCCTGCTGAGCCAGCAAAGTTTGGCGAGCTCCTTCTAGCTATACCCCAACTCGAGCGGGCGTGCCAACTGAGCAAAGAAAGTCTCGCAGCCTCTCGCCAACAGGCTGCAAAAAGTCGAGGAGACGCGCCAGCACCTGGATTCAACCTCCTCATGGAACTGCTTCGAGGAGACCATTAACCCCATTCGAAACAAATCTCGGCTACAGGACAATGTAAATCTATCACGAAGGACAACAAACAACATGTTTATTGTAATATAACGCTATCTGAGCTGAATGCAATGAAATTAGATAACATGGAACGATTTTGCCGTCGGAAATTTTTAGCCAGATGCTCACAAAATATTGCCGAAAGGCTAGTGCGCCGAACACATTACTATAGTAGTTCATTTTCAGCTGTTCGGAGCTATCCTGGACGAAAGTCTAGGACCGATTGTTATTCTGATAACATGAATGGATACACTAATTTATTTATTAAAGAGTTAGTATTAGCGTAGGACACTACGTAGACCTCATATGGCCGGATTTCTTTAGGTGAACAGGCGAAAGATAGGAACACGGTAAGAGCCATAGGTTGATTCGTAGTAGAAGTCAACAATTTTGGTAAAGTTTCGCAGGTCAGGGGTGGCGTCATAAGCCCCCCTACCGGACTCCATATCAGACAACATGTTAAAAACGTCTCGAATTAAGAATAATTTAAATAAGGAGCCTTTTCAACCAAGATCGGCATTGACCACTACTACTAGTCTGAAGGAAATTGCGAATTGCGTTGATACGGGCCTAGCAAATGTGCAATTTTAATAGAATAGTTCGTTGCAGTTCCGAATGGTAAGAAATAGGTTTGTCTATAATTAGAGGTGGCTTTTGAAACAATCGATGTCGAGCTGGGTTGACGTAGGGTTGTGAATGGATCGTGCAAGACGTAAGACGCAAGCAGTGAACTTCTCATTCAGACTATTGAATTGAGATTGAATTCTCTAGATGTAAACAGCCTGACAGACAAGCAGGAGGATGTTTCGTCTCATCGTTGCCGACGTGAGCTTGCCTATATGGGATCGGTCAGTCACCGCGGAAAGAACATTAATCTTAGCAAGCGATACGTGCAGTACATTTAGAAAACAAAGGCCAAAAATGAACGCGACCGCATGGAGAACCCGTTAGGTGCAGCCCACGATGCAAGGAAACTGTTAGGCACACAGAACCGGTTCGTGATTGCCTACCTAAGACATGGTGTCTAGATAATGATAAAGCGCAATTACTGGATAGAACAACAGGATAAACACTATTTTCGCTGACAGAGAATTAACACAGCTGGGGGTACTAGTTTACGAAAAAGATCATATGGTAACTGTAGTAGGAATACGCTATAATGTATTCATGGTGGCTATCGCTTGTGGTGGGCCCGTGTCTAACTTACTGCTAGTCGGAGTGCAATCAAATAGTAAACGATATATACGTCCTTCAGGGCACATACAAATCGAAAGTATATATATATATATACGATATTATGTTCATACAAGTATCTTTGCAATTATTATTATTATTGTGACTTTATCCTAGTATATACATATATAATAGCTATTGACGTGCTAACAAACTGTAATATATAATATTTTTTTATACATGGTAGCACTTGAAAAGGTCGCTACTGTGTCTGGACGTACTGTTCATTCGAAAACTAATCATTCACCAGGAAAACAGTTCGTACTATAATAACAATGACAGTGCGTGCAAGAGCTATGCCCCTTCAGGAGGACGAAGGAAAGTTATCCGTTTCTTCCACACTTTGTCGTCGTATGTCCTTCTTTCATTTTCAAGCTCTAAAAATCTTACTTTTGCGCCGAATTGTCACCAGAGCTCACCTAGCCTGGGTCCACCTTTCATTTTTTCCATTCATACTTCACCCAAATTTTCTCACCTCGATATCACTTTTTTGTTTAATACTAACGTTCGATTTCATGCTCAGTTGTCTCTCTTGCTTCTTCTGGATATAGTTAACTATTTCCGTACAGCTTTCGGCCGTAAAATAGACTTTGAAAGTCTATTACTTATTTCCTTGCACATCTCTATTGTTCTCTTTCGAAAAGTTCGCGCGCTCGGTTTAGAAAAAGTTGATTGCTTGCAACACGTTGCCTACCGATGTCGATGAATTAGTATTTGTTCGGTTTGAAAATATCCGCGCGTAGTCATAGAAGTAGGCGCCATTTCACCGACTGAACGGGGAAAAAAGAGGCTAAAACTTATCTAGAGTGAAAATATTGTAATTATTTTCTATGCATCTGCATTATTACATCCGTAGCTCTTTGATAGATACGACGTTCCTGATAGTGGTCTAGCAGAACCGTGGGGTCGCTATAGGTGTTCTATGACCAGAAGAGCATGACGAAGGCTCAACATAAATACAATATAAGTAATTCTGTGAGAAATATACGAGATGAGACTGCATTATTGTATTTTCTTGGCAAATCTAGCCACTTGCCAGCCCTGTGATGACTGTTATAGAAACTGTGTACTTGACCAACAGCACGCTATCGGGCCAAGGGCTCGATTCGGGTGTGAATTTATGAATGAAACACGAATTAGCTCGGCGTGCGGCAGCCTCAACTTTCAAATATGCCGCCATACTTCATATCCACAATGAGAACAATTTTTATTCTGCATTAGTAAATTCGCATTAAAGATCTCCCTCCCTCTATACGAATCGAATTACTCGGCATTTTAGAGGCGAACACATCTCTCACTTGTGTCTTATGTCACCGAGGCTACGAACCGTATATGTTATTCTCTGTTACAAATCGCCACCATCACTGTAGATTTCAACTAAGACAACAGCGCTAACAAGAAAAACTCCTTCCCCCGTCAATTATCTGTGCAGTTTTCTAATGAAACATGTCAATTCTTCGGAGACAGATAATTTTTCACAGCGAGGTAACATCCGGCAATTTGCCCCTCAGGTTTCCTGCGAAGCAACACAAGACGGCAAACGGGACAGGGCAGCGTGAATTAAACAAATATGCCGAGACAGACGTCATGTAGCCGACTGAACTTAAAAATGATTCTTATACACTGACAAAGTTGCTATAGCAATTTATGCACCTACGGCTGAAGTATGGACATTTCCGGCTACATATATGTATTATCTATGGCGGACTGTAACCACAATTAAGCGATCAACTGTAGGCGTGAAATTTGAATGACTTCAAAAAAAGACACCACCTAGGCATAAGTACGTGCAACTAACGGAAGCCTATAGGACTCCTACTAAACCACGTAGCAAGACTTATAGACATCTATTTTTGTGTCTACAGTCTAGAACTTACATCAACAGTTGAGATGGAAAGCCAGGTCAGAAGCGAGCGTAACTAATTAGCAGAGCTAGCTGATAAACAAAACTATTAATTTTGCGTGCCCATACCCAGCTTGCGACATGAGAACAAAGACTTTTTGAAAAAATTCCTACATGGCCTGCCATCCGCCAGTGTATTTTCTGCCAAACATCAAAAGTATGTGGATGAGCCTTGTACGCAAAATCGGTTGAGTCCTTTTTTTCACGTCTTCTAGGAAAGGCATATTTCGACGCCGTTATATCTTCCTTCAGAGTGAGCATTCTCCACTTGCCAAAGGCCAAATAGAAGGTGTCACTGTTTGGCCCAGACTAACGAAAGGAGCGCAAAATTAAGAACCTATGCATAAACTTTTATATTTATACGTAAACAAATCCCACGCATGAATGTGTGTCTGTGCGTGTGTGAGCGCGCATCGAATGAAAGTATGTATGTGTATTTGTAAGCTGTGAAGTGAATCTTCTTTTTGTACCCATCACATGAAGATTTAGTATGAAAAAAGCAATTGCTGAAACTGAAATAGAACTTACCGAGTATTTTCGTAGCCAATTTGCGAGGACGAGATCATTTGTAGAGCTCAAAAAGAAGTGTCACTTTATACCGAATTGCATGGATTTCTTTACACACAATCGAACGGGTTCAACACAGACTAAGTGGTCCGTTAACAGTGGTGAACTTGGGATGGCTTGATCAAGTCGTGTTCGACAAGAGGGACCAAAGCAAATGCAAAGAACGGAATCACTTGCGAGTGGAATATATAAATTGACGATACTGGGAAAGGCGTTTCTTATTTAAATGTAACAGAGAATGGCTGCAGAGTTGAAACCATCTCTCGATTTCGATCGAAATTTCTCTTAAAAAAGAAAAAAGATGAAACCCAGTTTCTTGATACAATCACTGATATGACTCCATGTTTAACGCTCGAGCTTGCTTCGAATCCGGAACAAGTGAGTTTCTTGGTCTAATAATTAAATCAGCAACACAGCGTCACAATGAGACATTATTACCGGAATAGGTACTGCGAAAGGCTTTTTTTGTGAAGAAAGGCCTTTCACTCCATACCGATTCATCCTTCCACTGTACACTGACTCTTTTCGTATACATATCGTAAAAGCCTGCAAAAGGTGATGGATACGTTTATTGGCACATTCGTTGGTAGAGAAATTTGGACGTAGGTAAGGTTTTAGCCATTTTTGTGTCCCCACTTATGTATTTACTGCAATTACTAGTGGGCTTCTTACAGTAGGTACTACGATAAAGGTTACTGTCGGGTGAGACCCATTGAAGCTTCGGCCCAAATAGACGCTAGGACATCTAAGGGGATGAGACTATATGCGGTTCATTCTTAACCATTCGTAGTTCAGTCAGCCGATTCATTTAAAAACATTGTTATTATTATCATTGTAGAATTTTGTTTATTTTTTTGTTAAACTGAGAACCGAATCACTACTACAGGCTCAAAAGAACTAGGACAATTCTTCTAGATATTAGGTGATAAGGTTAAATAGTAAGCGAGGACTAAAATACAATTCATAACATTCATGCGTCTGGACACATCATCTTGAAACACAGCGGGCTATGCGGAAAGTGAGACAAAGACAAATTAGATTTTTATAAGAAGATACCCGAAAAACGGACCGCCACATGAAATAATATATATTTTATATTAGTGAAACTAAGTGTGCTTTTGTTAGAAGCAATCTAATCAGTCTGTGTGTACGTGTCTATGACCATACGAACATGCAAAGGTTCAGCACTGTCGTATAAAATTCAAAGTATATCAAATTGATTTTTCGACGCAGTACCTCGTTCACTTTCAACAAAAGAATGGCTCCCAAATGCCTTATTTGTAACTAAGAACGACGTATTTTGTAGTATAAAATGGAGGGGGTAATCAAAAAGAGCTGTGCAGGCGTCTTTGCTTTCAGAACCCATTACGAATGGGCGCAAGATAGCTTTCCTACATTTTTTTTAAATGATTTCACGTGAATGGCTAAAAAATAAATTTCGTCAGTATCAATTATGAACCAAAAAACAAAAGCGCACAGTAATTTTTGATAACCCTATAATATATTCATGTTATATCAGGGAGGCGTAGCAGGGATTATGCAGATCCGCGACATACCTCTCAACTGACCCAAGTTCCACTGGCCCGTGCAACGAAATGGGTGGTTAAAAGGTGCTGGCGTAAATATTGTATATTATCGAACAGGCTGGTCCCTTTATCTCCTTTTTTGAAGACGACAAAGCACACTGACGACACATAAGTCGAACAGGATTGTATTTATTGAATTTCGTTACAAGGTGCATTTGTACACGGACACGGAGCAGTGTTAACACTAGATTGTGATACCTGCTAGCGGAGGGTAGGAACTCTATCATTGAGCTCGAATTAGTAACAAACATGTCAGAAGGGTATATCCTGCTATAAATCAAATGTAACTCCCTAAAAATAGTAGTATTATTATATTGACATCGATCCATGCGATAGCAGATATAAATTTTTTTCTTGAAAACACCTTACGCAAGAAGGAAAAGATAATAAGTGAGTGACGAACTTTTATAATTTGCGCTTGACGAATGGTAGACTATAGATATTCGATCCGTACGCCCGTGGACAGCCGTTCTAATGAAGACATAATGCCTTCTGAAAAACGAAAGGACATCGCGCGGTATGAGTCAACATTCAGTCTTTGGGCAAGTCGATGGATTTAGACAGTGACTCGAATCAATGGGCGAAGCGAATCAATAGAGGATAACTTAGACAGTAAAACAGAGGGTTTTGTGGCCGGCTATACGAGTAACGTAAGTGTGTGAATACATCTTGCTTGGCTGTGTGAATGTACCGTACCGGGCGCAATTGGATATATTCTGTACTAAATGATCAAATAATCCCGGTTGATGCGAACGATGCATATAGGTGTAAGTATTATGAAAAGTGATGGAACATCAGTTACATATATCTATATATATATATATATATATATATATAGATGAGTGCATATCAGCAACAAAACGCGAAATAGGAGTGCATCATAATCAGCCGATTTCTGTGAAGAGCTAAGGCAGCGGCAACCATCAATAGGGGAAGCAGCAATGACTCTATGAGAAGATTCCAAGGAAATAATACTATAGCACTATATAAGCATTTTTAATGAAATGAGAAGCGGAGAAAAACAGAAACAGGGGGTTAACAAAAGATCGGAAATTACTCTGAGACAATGTGTGGCATAAGTATGCTCGATATAGTAATAAAACAAGCTCGGGACTATTGTATAAAATGCAGCCACCTGCGGTTTGCCGGTAAACAAATTCGATGAGCGAAAACGGTTCCTGCTCATTGTGCTTAATAATACATCCTTTGTCTATGTTTCTTTCGACGTGAATGTAAATTCCAAGCTCGTGATTTAATCTACATTTAGTTAGGAGTGATGATCATCGAGTTCGTATTGCTCGATCAATAAGAAGGCAAGTATGAATGGCTGACGGTCGTGATACGCTATTATGAATTTAAGTGAATAAACTTTTATGATTGATCATAATACAATCGAAGCAATAGAACGGTATGGTAATCGAGCAATACCGTACATATATATATATATATATATATATATATATATATATTTTTTTTTTTCAATAACCCCACATGTTCTTTTCGTAATATTGTTTTTCTCTTGGGTATGTGTAACTTCGATGTCCTATTTATTGCGTATGACTGACTGTGCGTTTCAATGATAAGTTATTTTGTGTGAATGACGACTGTGCTATCTGAAACACAATAACTAGTATAATTATTATATATTATCACTGCGACTAAAACGTATTTCCTGTTCAAGACTTGAGTCAAAATGACGCAAAACGTATCGCTTCACATTCAATATCCACATAGGGCAGCTGCCCAATCGTTACTCGTATGCAGTCGTTCTACCATACAAGCAACGGGGAGCGAAAATTGATACGCGAGTGAATTACGGATTTGTAACGCTTAACAGAATTTTAAATGGCGACAGGTGACTTATATAAGTAAGACCCCCAAAAGGCAAAGCCTTTTCATGTGCAAAGCATCGGAACATACAATTATGCCCGTTTTACGTAGCAGAAAATCATAATGAAACGAAGTGCATGCTCGTTGATAATGGTGCCGTGTTCATCAGCTGGGCGATGACGGTGATGATTAATAGCGTCAATCGAGTTGTACGAGGTACGTACGGAATGCTGACAAAATAGGAGTGCGTACATATAAAAAAACGGTATCAACAGAGCGACATTTGATAGTATTGATGTGTGCATGCGTGTTTCAATTTAGTAAACGAGTAATGATCGTGTGTGTGTGCATCTGTGTGGGAGTACTTCTGCAAGCATACATAAATATATATATATATACAGAGCGTGCATCTGCACATATCACGCCTACATACTGTACACGGCGGGTGGCAATACAACAGGCAGAACCGCTCCAAGAAGTTGCTAAAGGGCTCCTGTGGTAACGTCATCTGAAAGGCAGTTGGTTAAGACGAAAGGTGCAAGCAGACAGCCACGTAACGAAGCAGACGAGGAAACAACAAACAATGAAGAGTACTAGACAGAAGAGAGCAAACATGCAGAAGACACACGCTGGTCTTTACAAAAGAACAGCGTGCGCCGATTTGTGTGCAATGGTCGCGGTTTTGTTCAACCAGCCAAATGTCAGTCCACACTTGACAGGTGATCAACAGTCAGAGTTCGGAAGTAACGACTAGGAAATTATAAACATTTCCTCTCAACAATTGGCGACATTTAACAGTTTGGCCTGAATTTAGTCTGGCTGGCTATGCAAGCTGCCTTCCCCAGTGTTAAATAGTATTGATACTGACCGCACTATCATCAACACGCGGGATAGGTGCAGTAAACTTTTGGCCTGCAAAAATGGTGTTATAGTAAAATATATTATCGAGGTGAAAAAAGGCCCGACATTAGCGAGTGGCAAATAAGAGTAGGTCAACATCTGCATGCAGGAGTAGAACTCTCGCAAGAATCTCCATGATGGATCAATAATAATGACAAACGGAAAAATAATGCTAATAAATAATGACCGGAATGATTTCTATACATATATAAATATAGCTATTGCGCTCTTATCACATGATGAACGAAAATAACAATGCTAATGAATATTTATAATATATATATATATATATATATATATATATATATATATATATAATTGGTAGCGAATGTAGGAGCGACTGTATATAGTTAATACTTTTGTACGATTTTGATCTAATATAATAATAATAATAATATATACACAAACAGCAACAATAATTATAAAAACTTCAACAAAACAAAAATAGCAGAGGAGCTAATAAAAACAAATAATGGCTGCAAAAAGAAATGCAGAAACATTCTTCTATACATAAAGGCTGGGATGCAACAACACGGAAAAAACAATAACAACAACAAACATATAAACTTGGATCCCTCAACTACGGAAAGCGATAATAAAAAGAAATAAAGCACTGAATATAATCACATCTGTCTATTTTTTGCTTGGTATCGTAGTTTTTGCCCATTCAAGAACTGGCCACCTTAGATCCTAAACAATATGTTGTCCGAACTAGGCCTGATAAACCCTATTCACGGTTTATAACAAGAAAAACGTGAACAATTTCTCGGTTCAAAATTATTACTTAGATGTTCAGCAGCCTATATTAGCCTGTAGGAGATATGCGACCTATAATTTGAGAATACTAATTAGAACATCTATTAGGCGACAAAACTTTGTAGAATTTAATTTTTTTCGAAACTCAATGATTTCACTACTGTTTTAGTGGAAATGAAAAACTTAAGTGACACCTAGGACCCATATTTATTGTGCGAGGGAATAGATGTATACTCGTAGATATTTTCAATTAAAAATAGAAGACATGATGTTTTATTGTTATGTACTTCCTTACGCTATTATGACATAAGCATACAGATGAGGAGATTGTATAAGGTTAGCAGTATTTGCAGCTTAATAACACTCGTAAAAGAAGCGACGTTGGCCTTCATTTTCTAGAGAATTGGACACTGCGATTTAGGCTACAGGGGATTTGTGAGAGAGAAGTGATAAAACGTTTACAACAAGAATTGTTCGCTGCCATGCCATTCAGTAACCTTTATTTACTCATACTTATTTAGTACCGCACTTTATCAAGCAGACAATATAACTGGCGCAATGAGCACGCACAAAGAACATATGCGTAATTTAGATGGTCGTATCAGAATCCGTTTAGATTTTTTTTTTTTTCGTTATTTTACAATATGTCATTCTTATGGATATTAATGGGAATCACTACAAAGAATCTAGGCACTTTTACCCACAAGCTCATGCTATTCAATGTTTCCTTATATTAAAAGTAGTTTTTTCGAGGCTTGCGATACGCAACAAACTGCATGAGTAGAATTAAAAAAAAAACGTGTCAAAAACTAATTTTTCTGTAAAAGCGTGGCAAATTTAAAATATTATCACAAGTATTCAATAGCAACCACAATGGGTCTAATGTTGTCATTACATGCATCTCTAGCGCGGTTTTACAATTTTGAATCTCGCGCCTCCCGTTGCGCTATACACACAGATATTCCTTCTTTTTGAAGCAAAATTTTAATTACGTACGTTAAAAATTGATTATACTTAGTTTTCGAAAACTGTCCTTAAAGAATATATGATTTTAGCAAAATAACTCGGTTGCCTAATTCTAATTTTCCATTATAAGTCGTAACTACGCCCGCGTTCGATTTAAGCAGACGGCTTTGCACGGAAGTGGCATTTCAAACTGCTTGGTTTCAGCATGGCCGCTTCCTTTTTCTCGCTAAAGGCCAGGTGTGTGTGTGAGGCAAGCTACGAGATTTGAGTTTTTTAGCTATAATTTGTCAGTTTTCGCCAAGTGTGTACTTCACAGCGACCACCTATAGCGTTGTTGAGGCGTGGGAGCGCGCCTTCTTGAAAAATTTATGAAATTATCCTTTGGGCTAGCAAATTCAGATGATTTCATTGACACGTGCAGCACATTGAAAGCCCCCCTCACCGACCAACGTGATGCGATATTGTCAATAGAACGCAGCTAACCAAATCAGCGAGCTTCACCGAGGTTTTATTAGGGATAAAAGACTGTCGATGATTGTCTGAAAGTGTGTCAAGAGTCCTATGTGCTATAAAATTCTACTTTGTTAAATTCGGTTGAATGCTTTACTGCCGCTGACTGACCTGTCGGCGTGTTGTAATGCACACCCGGGTGTCACGATATGTTGTCTTTAGTCAGAGTGAACTAGTCCCAAAAGCTCAAAGTTTCTTGGATTAATTAAAACATAACTAAAAATTTATAAAGGAATTAGTTATAGGCGCTGTTTACTTAGCATTTTGCTTCCATAGTTGCTGAGCTGGTATTTGGTTTGTGCTACTGCTATTGCTTTCAGCATTTGATTATTTGCAGCACCTTGCATGACATGCGTTTTCATGGAAAAGACTGAAAATCATTTCAATTAAGAGAAATTGATTATACCATTATCGTGCAGTGCATCGCACGTGTCGTCCGTGTCCTTCAAAAGCTCTTAACCTGTTATATTGCATCATGGTTGTGTTGTGTCACCGATTATAGGCTTTAGTGTCCAGTTACAGTTGCCAATATGGGTATCAGTCGTGATCGCGCTCACAAACACCGAGCAACCGGAGGAAAGCGTGTTCAGATCCGTAAGAAGAGGAAACTTGAGCTTGGACGTCCCGCTGCCAATACAAAGCTTTCCCAGGGCACTCCTGCCAGAATTCGTACTGTTCGGACTCGCGGCGGTAACATTAAGTTCCGCGCCCTTCGTCTCGATCATGGTTCGCTTTCCTTTTTACTTCCAGCCTTATCGAATTGATGCTCAATGATTTGCGCATTCTCTTAGGTAATCTCGTGAATTACTCTTAGTGTGACATAATTCACAGCACAATGAAATATCGAGCGCTCTTTCTTACCAACGGTGTAGACTGTCGATTTACGAACTGGTACATGAAGCTTGTGTTAATTCGATGTCGTAAACGGCCTTGGCCGTTTTTCCTAGGTTTTGTGATTATTATCTTTTCTTTAACAACAGTTGTGCTGTGAAACTCGTATACGTAAAATATGATCACCGCTTAGTCAAGTCCGGAGCCGTTTCAAAGAATAAGAATGTTCAGCATTACTTTCCCCTTTTCGAAGGTATTATTTCTGCCGAAAACTACGAAAACTCTACTGACATAGACGTTCCTCCCTTAAACTTGTTTAGGCAACTTTGCGTGGGGATCGGAACGGTGCACACGTAAAGCCCGTATAATTGACGTTATTTACAATGCGTCTAACAACGAGTTGGTTCGTACCAAGACCCTTGTGAAGAATGCCATCGTGTTGGTTGATGCTAATCCTTTCCGGTTGTGGTACGAGAACCACTACGCCGTACCCTTGGGCAGAAAACACGGCACAAAAATCACTGACATCGAAGGCCTTACCATCGGCAAGAAGCGTTTGGAGAGTGATGCTCAAAAGGCTCTTCAGGAAAAAGCTCCTATCGATTCTCTCATGGAGGAACAATTCTCCACTGGCCGTCTGAAAGCCTGCATTTCGTCCCGGCCAGGCCAGTGCGGTCGTTGCGACGGTTATATCCTTGAGGGCAAGGAGCTTGAGTTCTACTCCCGCAAGGTAATCAGATCGCGTAAACACTCGTTTTATCAAATAAGCCATTCCAAAATAAACCATATTCTTTGATTAACGCTAATATTTAAGCTGTATTTCGCCGAGAAGAGTTTAATTTGTATGCTCGCTTGCTGGCAGTCAATCCTTAGACATGGAATTTAGAGTCAGTCATTAAACTCGAAGGTTTATTTGCAAGTAATCACTAAGAGAGTGATCGTGATTCTCGTTGCAGATCAAGGCCAGAAAGGGCAAGTAAAGGGCCGTCGATAGCAGGTAAAGTTAGCTCGATAATTATCAAATGTGCCGGCCGTATGGTACGGTGCGATGGTAAAAATAATAAATAACAGCCGTATGCCTATTGTGTTTACTGACGGCAAACGGGTTATCGAAAAAAAAGCGTGTTTTTCGTCACTAGGATGTGAAACCCTTGTTAGATTTATAGGAAAATATGAACTGATGGTGTTAAATTTCGGCTCTGCTTTACATCTAGCTTATATCGGGGATGAGGTTAAGAGGTGAACTTTTTTTGATCTGAGTACGCAACCGTATCGTATTTGGGAAACTTCATCATGAAGTGCTATAGAAATAGTCTGATAGTAAGACAAAATCAATAACAATAATTGATAAAATAATACTTGTCACAAACAAATGTGTTCTATTTCAATATGCTAATTTCACAGAAACATCAGTTTAAGGTTAAATTAAAACTTAGAGAATACAACATTACTTCTAATTTTGGCATTCAGGAGTGTTGTGTAGATCTTATACAACAGCTAGATAGGGTTCACTCACATGCTTGTCTTTCAAAATTCTCTATTAAAATTTTCGTCTCACTGAATACCTGCAAATACGTTTTAGAGTGAATTAAAACAAGATATTTTTTTAAATATCCGTAAAAGCTGTGTAATACAGTAATAAAACACGACACATTGTGAATGTGAAAACTCTTAAGTTTCCTAATATTCGTTCTGCTAAAACAATTTCGCTCCTCTTTGGTAACCTAATTACCATTTTTTTCCATTTTTTTAGTAAGAAAAACGAGTATGTGGCACAATTTCCGTCCTTCTGACTAGTGAATTCAACTTTGTGCTTTAGCTTAAAAATCTCCTAGTCCATGTGTTTCGAGAACGATATAAGCTTCAATAGTGCCCTGACTAGCGTTACTTCTAGCGATCGCCTCTCATTAGTCCATATTTAATATAACGCAACACTTTAACATGTTAATTTAAACAAAGCTTCGACATCTCATTTGGTATGTGAGCATAAGAATCAGAAGACTTTAGCGTCACGCATAAATTTCTATTAAATTACCGCAGAATGTCTTAAAACTGAACCGAAAGTAGATATGGAAATTTGATATCTAATTTTATACTTAAATTGCTTTAATTGCAGCGCCATAATATCATATGAAGGTGTTTTACTATTAAACGTGTTTCTCGGAGCGACAAGTAGTTCTAAGCTTGATATATTGCAAAATCGAAATGGCTGTATCGCATGGTACGAATGCCAATCTTGTTACTGACCGCATTTTGAAGATGAACGTGATTTTCAACGATAGACTCGGAATCGTAAGAAATTATTTGCGTAAATTCCATCCTGACAATATTGGGGATGATCGTGAATGACGGTATACTTAGGAGTCCAGAAAACATCAAAAAACATCAAGTCCAAAAAAAGAACTCGTGATAAATCTTTCAAAGAGCTTCACTTCTAAGGTGTGCTTTCACAAATTATTTTTGTAGCATTTGGTAGACCAAAAGTCTAGCCAAGCTCTTACTAGTTTCGAAAAAAAATTGTGCTAAAGCCAAAAAGAATTTCGAAAATTATTAACATTCAACTTTCTAGTGTGAGCCATAGAAAAATGAAAATCCTGTGTTCCTCTAGTAAATAAAACTTACTTTTAATGGAAGTATACAATTGAGTTCTACTAAGCGGTTCCAAGATTAGGTGTATAAGTACCTCAAAAGCTGGTGCTAACGGGTACATCGAGACACCAGTTTAAACTTGAACTCTGTCAGTCGTTGTTTACTATTTCGTGAGGGCTCCTTTTCTAGATTAAAAAAATACACAATTATGTTACATTAAGGAAATGTACTGATTTAAAAACTAAGAGAATAAAGCAAACATAACCGAACCGTATATATGGTTAAACGTTATTTTTACTGATTGGTATGCTCGAATCATGAGTTATTAGTTTACTACGTTAGTAATAACGGCTTTTTCACCTAAAAACGAACGTAGCGTAGAAATTTTAGCAACGCAGTTCATATATTCACCATTACTCTGCCCGACGTCTATTCCTCATCGACCTCGAACTGACATTTTCCATTTCTAAGATGTCAGTGAGCTTGGCAAATCATCTTTTATGTTTAGAGTTTTTTTTTGTTTTTATGTTCTGTCATCTTCAGAGTTCGTACCGCATCCGGCACAAATATTTTGGCAGCTTTTTGACCAGAACCTTTTTTATATCGGAAATAAATTTTTCAAGGGGATCCATCTTTATGGCCTGAACTCGACGTAACATTGTGTCCGCTTGATATTAAAATTGTGGACAACATAGAGCATATTTGAATGGTAGACGTACCTAAACAGTCGAGAGATAAACGAAAACTGGTATATTAGAAGAGGAATCGTCACTGCTTGTGCACCAATCTAATATTTAATTTTGTGAAATTGTGTTCAACAAAAATTTTATAAGGCATTGCAAATTGTCAGATATACTCCCGATTTAATGTTCATTAAAAATATCATTTTTGAGATAACGGAGTCACTTAATGCAATGCAGTATAATAATATCTAGATGGGAATCAAATTTGATTTTTAAACTAAACAATTTATAAGCCTAGATATACTTGAACCATCTTCCGAGACCTTTCCATGTTTACAAAATGCCGTTCTTAGATATAACGCTTCATGGTTTTGTTGTATTTTTAATTGATGGATATATAAAAGGTTCTGCCTTTTGCATTAAAGCCTATTTTACCTAAAATACAGTCGCAGACCCCATCAGCACACGTTCAGCCGCTTCTAAGTGTTAGGCCTTCAAAATTAATATAATACCCGCTCAGGGCCACTCACGCGCCGAGTTTAAAATCCGTTTTTTCTGATACAAATTAAATAAATAATAAATAAAAATAGTTAATATTTGCGACAGTGTCTTCTGAACTGCCAAAATTCACTACCAGACGCAAATAGAAGAACCTCAATATAATTATATCTGGTGGCCGGCGTGTTAATAGGTAAAAAGTTTAGTAAAGTCAAAAGTTAGATGGTGATGGACATTCATAAAAACGCCTTTCACGTTCTTGTTCTCTGGTATCTTTGTTGCCACCTGAAATATCTAAAGGTATACGTCGACGAAACGCGTTTTTATCTTTTTATAACGAACTTTTACCACTCTTATTGGGCTGAAGACCCAATTACACTTGAAAATACGCGAGAATGTCAGTGTACATTACACAGTCTTTTGAAATGCCCGAGGAATGATGTGAATTGTAACAGTACAAAGACAGTGAGGTTTACTGCTTCAATCCGTTCACTTTGGATTATACAGCTTCTCACTTCTTATGTGCAAGTGTTTTGCAAGCCTTATAGGTGCTTTCCAACATCCCTACCTATTGAAAATTACGGGACTAAAGCCACTGTCATCATTGGTAGTATTTAAGTCGAGCAATACAGACCGGAAGCATCTTGCTATATCTATAGCTAGACTATGATAATGTAATATCAAGAAAAACTTGTAACAGAATCCTTCGTAATATGGACCGCCGCAGACGTGCATGTAATCCCTGTTAAAACGAAAAAGATGTTTTACCTTATTCTGTTGAAACCATAAAAACAGCTAAGTTGTAGCGGTTCCTCACCAAACGAACCTGCATTTTCATGGTTTTGCTTGAGTTCTCAGTGATGTGCTTTTGTTTCTTGAAAATGAGAGCACTGGTTAAATCTGTTGATAACTGATGGAAACCCAGGCAAGAAGACCTTCAACAAAACAACAGTTTCTATCAGTGCAATGTTTTTAGGAACGCAAGTTGGCTAGTAAGTTAAATAAAACTCCATGAAAATATTTGACCTGAAATATTAGATATATTTCGCAGGGTAAATAAGGCTTGACAAACAAAATATGTGGAAATATAAGGAAGGTACACTATGTGTTCAATGAATGGTTTGCCTCTCTTTATGTAAAATTCACGGCTCAACACAATCCTTTTTGTTCGATTTCGAGAGCGCAGCTCTGCAACTTACTTCGGTACACATTTCTGTTTATCAATAAAATAGTGGACCAAAAGTCTTTGGGGGCTAAATGGGTCTTCAAAAAGGCACTTTCGCGCATCATATGAACCAACCTTTTTTACAATTCCTTAGAAGCATGCCTATTAACACGTACCATAACTGCAATGCAAAGACATACGTAATTCTTACGATTCGCTAAATTAGAAACCAAGTTCATTTACTGAAGTTCGCAGTCGATTTTCTGAAATTTCAGTTTTATGTAACCGTTCCTACGTAACCATTCCTCGCTTGCAGCGGCGGTGTACTGAGTTTGATTCTAAGTTTGTGCACAATCTGCAGAACCTTCATTCGAATAATTATAGGCAGACAAGAAGAGAAAGTACACTGTTATCATTCCTTTCTATGCAATAAAATAATAATACCAGCATTATTCATGTTAACGATGGGTCGGCGAAGTATTTTATTTCCTAATTTATACATATTGAGCTGACGTTTGTATGAGAATGTATATGGTTAAACACACTAATAATCTGATGACTAATTCTAGTGCTAAAACGCATTATAAAAAATAAGAATATATTGATTAACGTTCTGTACCAGTATTGAATCATAAGTCGTGGAAAAAGTCGTGCTGTTTTTATATACAATACAGACGATAATGAAATTTCAGTAGCAGTTTGAAGCGGTTATGAATAATTTTTTTCTAATTGGAATTTTTTAAAATAATGTTAATAAAAGAAATACCGATATATTCATTTAAGTTTCATGCGATCCAGATTTCACTTCTTGCCATTTAGCATTATAAATTTATTTAAAAAAAAAAAGACTGAAAAGTGACAGCTTCTATTTGTTACTAACATACCGAATCCTTACAGGTAATATTAATTTTCACAGCGGAACTGAATACTTGCATTGTGGCACTACCTAGGAGCGAATATTTTCAGGGTTCATCAGCGCAAGCAAATGTAGCCAGGATTAAAAATAAAACTCTCTACGTCTTTAAGTATGTACATATGTACACGAGGGAAATGTTGGCCGGCCGTCCTCAATAGCGACGCAGTACAGCCACTGACAACAGCAGATGGGTCGAGCGTATGCTTGTTTCAGAGGCTGTTCGCTGGTTCGTCGGTATTGCGTTAGTGACAAGAGCGCTGCGCAGACGCAACAGCAGTCGGAGAATCGTAACGATAATGATAATCATCCAACATAACAATAATCGTAACAACCTCCCAAAAGTCCTCGTACTGCCACTAGTCGTCATCAGCGTCGCGGCCGTTATCGTTGCTAGTAATGATCACCGCATCGTGTTATTCTATTTTATTAGCTCTTGATGTAAAGGAACAGAAGAAAAGGGAAAAGGCAAAGAGAACCGGGGGAGGAGGGGGCGGGATGGGGTGGTAGGCGAAACTGTGTGTGTTCGGTGTATTCCGCGTGCCCACGATATAAGCAACTAGAAGATCACAGGGATTCAATACTTGATCGAATCAAACGACGAGAGCGTTTAAAGCGGATTATTAAATTGTAGCTTCTCTCTCTCTCTCTGTGTTTGTATGTGCGTGTGTCTGTGTATGTGTGTCTCCTCTAGCTTCCTACTATACCTCTCGCTGCCTGTCGCTAGCAGTAACAAGTCTTATGGGAGTACGGTTCTGCCATGAAGCTAGTGCCTGCAGGATGCGGCTTTTCTGCAGTCAGCCCTTGGTCCGGCGGTGTCCGCACACTTTGTCGTCTTATGTTCTTCCCTACTCTACTGTAGCTGTTATTGTTCCTGCAGTTAATGCAGCATGGGCAGCGCAGTTTGTAGTGCGTTTATCTGTTGAACCCAGAGATCCCGTGGCCTGGGTTCGAATCCGGGCACAGACTCACATTGCTTCGTGTTGGGAGCTAGCTACGTAGCCTAATGTAACAGCTAACAGTTTAGACGTAAAACACGAAGCACATTTTCAGCATCAGCAGTAACTATCGGCATCGTCAACATCGGTGTTGTTAAAAAAAACCAAAACGACCGTACTGCTGCAATAACCATAATCAACAGAAAGACATAAACTGTAACCATTATAAGAATCACCCAGCGAACGAAGTGAGCTGGCTAACGGCAGCTGAGCATCGAGCTTTTTGACGTGCCTGTCTGTCTGTCGGTCCATTCCTCCCTCCTTATGCGCGTTGTCTCGCTGGGTTGATTTGAAGACGGAATATCGCTATCATTTTGTTAGAGTTATTGTTATGATTATCGTTATTGCGAAAAAAAAATATACATGTGTGTGTGCGTGCGAGTTTGTTTGCGTCTATATCTATATGATACAAAAAAGAGTCAAAGGAAAACGAGACGGGGAGGAAGCCATCACGTAGACAGACCGACCCAGCAAACAGTACGCTGATACAGAATTGCGCAGATAGCCATACCAACAATTGTAACAGCAGCTAGCAACTCAACTGCATCACACGGGCAAGCAGGCAGACCCTCCTGCTCGACTACATCCCTCAACAGACAAATTACAACTCGATGATGGGGCATAGACGTCGTCATCGTCCGTGGTGGCAGCAGTCGATCGACAACGAACCAACGAACGAACCATCAGTGGCCACCGCGTCGAACGGCGACGTCGGTGCTGTTCTATAATCGTCATCATTTTCATAGCAATAATAATAACCATAATAATAATACTGGTAGAAGTGATGGTAGCCGCATCCGAGCTGGAGATAGTACTAGAAGCTCTAGCAGCGGCAAAAGCAGCAATGTTGCTAGTCGTTGTTCTATAGTAAAAGTAACGAGAGGAAGGGTTGGCCGTTGCTGGTCGACTACTAGTCAGTCGGTCGGTCGGTCGGTTGGACGGACGGACGGACGGACGGACGGACGGACGGACAGACGGACAGACCAACCGCTGGACCAAGCTGCCGACCGTAATGATAATGATCGTAATAATCATAATAATAAACAACATTATTGCCGTCTGCCTAGCTGCCAGCCTGCCTGCCGGAGGCAGAGCGCGGCCTTATGCGATGCCAGCAATGGCCAACGAACATCAGACAGGCAGAACAACGACGGCCCCACAGCTCGAGTCGATTGCACCAGCAGCAAGACTAGCAGTGCTATTGGCGCCGTTTCATGTTCGTTCGTTCATAGCCCAGAGTTTCTTTGCTTCTTAGAGTCGTAGCGGTCCCTTGCTGCTTTGCCGGATTCCGCTGCCGTTTGCCGTGGCGTTATGGCCCGTAGTAAGAATGGTGGTGGCAACGGCGAAGAACGCAAGAAAAACCGAGGGGATGAATGTGCAGCAGGAGCAGCCCTAGTAATAGTAGCGGCGATATTGCTAGTAGTGGTGATGGAGGTGTAATGGGCAGGGCTTTTCGATGGATATCAGCAGCAGCATGTGCCATCTCGTTGCTTGGTTTGTTCTCTTAGTCTCTTGGCCAGTTTTTCTCTCTTTCTGCTTCCGTCTTCTTGCCACCACTCGCCTCTACTCTTGCTCGACTCTATCCGAACGAGCTGTCGGCGCTCAGAGCGCTTGCCTGTTCACTGCCATCGACTACTCCGTTGATGCCGTAACGTAAGCGACCAGGCAAATAGTGGTCGTCATGGTCGTATGGCGCTAGTAGTAAGCAGTCGAGTCAAAGCAGTTGCCACAATTCAAACCGACCCTTTGGCGGGGTTATCATCGCGGAGTCGCCCTAGGGACAAAGCTAGGGATATTGGTAACGTCTAACAGCTAGACTCCCTAGAAGCACACGCATGATACACAGAGCGGAGTAGGGAACGGTTTGCGCGCAACATCGCGAACCGTGCACAGAACGTGTGCGACACATCTGATCAGTGGCATCTGTGAGTACGCGCATCGTGCACTGATAGTGACATATCGCATTTGTTCGATAGTGCCTGCCGGATTACATGTTCACGCTTCATGGGCATACAGTAAAATATGGCACAAAATGCCTGCTCTGAGTGCTGTTCTATTTCTGTATGTGTGTGGTGTCGTGAATATCTCTCACATAGCACACTGTACGGTAAAGATGTCAGATGGTGCGAATAGATGTCTCTAGCATATCCCTAGATTGTCCCTAGGGTGCTTAAGGTGAGCACCGGTCTTCCCTAGGGCGAAATGGTTGGCAATAACTATTTGCTCTGAACGACCGGCCTTTATTACCACAGCGACTGCGGGTAGCAGCACTCCAACGCTCAGAAGCGAATCAGATGGCTGTGTGCTAACTTCGCTTGTTCTTTCAGGTGTATGTACATCAACGAAACAAGAACGTCAACCCACTGGATGTACTACGGCTGTTGCGGGCTGGCGACGTCCTATATGTCCGAAGAACGGTCGAGTTGTCCTGTCTTGGTCGTTGGATGTTAGCGTACCACCACACAGACGAGTAGTATAGTTATTCTTCTCCATAGAGCGCTGCTACCGCAGTATTAGGCGGTCGGAGCGGGTTCGACAGGAGGAGAGCTTCGTATTGATGCTGCGACTGTTCTGCTCTTGTTCGCCTGGTGTGGTGCTCGGCGGGGCCTTCGGACGCGCTCGCAGCGCCCCCTGGATGGAGATGGAAACCCAATCAATCATTGATTGTAAGATGGACGCCACTGTCGCTATGGCTTGGCTGCCACCAACGGCTGTATAATAGCAGTAGCAGCAAGAGAGCAGGCCTTTGACCAAAGGCGCTCGTACCCTAATCGAATTTTTTTCCCCCTACGGTAATCAGAATTTTTTCACTCAAATAAGTAGTTTTTTTTTAGCCAGACAACAGTGTTCAGCCCATGTGTGTATTGTGTTCTGCTTGTGCAGAGCAACAGTAAGAAGTGTGTGTTCAGAAGCGCGCGTAGCGCTCCGATCATTCTGTGAGTCCGCAAGTATCTCAAATTTTTCTACCCATGTAGATAGTTGCTTGGGCGCGTCTTTTTGGTGCGCGCGTTTTGTACGCGTACGTTGGTACGTTGAAGTGGCCGGTGCGTATGTGTTTGTCAAGGAAAACGACAGCGATGACATCAAATGCATCGTTATGTTCGTGTGTAATTAGCAGGCAGAAATCGTGTCGAGTGCCATCTCTGTATCGCGTTCATTTTCTATCTCGAATACAAAAGTCAATACAGTATCAGTCACATGCAGGTGCCTATCAGTGTTTCGAGTAGATGTGCACGCTGGGATTATCGCAAAAGTTCTCGATCAGAAAAAGTGAGAAGTGTGAGGTGAAGAATAGAAGAGTCCAAAGAAGCTCGTGTCGTGTGCGTGGATGTTCTGTTCATTTCGTGAGAAACTATCTCGCCATCGTTGCTTTCATCTTTTCTGTAGTGTGAGTAACTAGTAATGTATTTTCTAGTCTAAGTGCAGAAATAAGGGAAATGCGAACCTTGCAGAAGGATATTGCACGAGATGCAGTTTGTGCACACTTGTAATTCATCCCGATATTTATCAATAAAGGAACTTATGTCCTACACGGTCCATATATGTGAGCCGTCTGCTGTGAGAAACCGGTGTATAAGAATGTTCGGTACTATAGGTGCTGTAGCTTAAACATTATTAATTGTCAATCGACAATTCATCGACCTCTTTTCCTTGTTGATTTCCCACTGCTTTTGTGCGTTCACGAACGCCTCATATCATAGCGGGCGTACGTGAATTCTGCACTCACAACCATCATCAGTAGGTCAGGTGAACAAGTGTGGTGTTTAAGCTCTAAGCGGAAATTGTTATATGTTTGACCAATGAGTTTGTTAAATTTTTAAAACTTGAAGAACGAAAGGCGATAATCAGGGAGGAAGACGCAGTGGCTGGTGCATTTATATGAATGCAAATAAGCAAACATCGACGGAACGTAAGTCGCACGATCACCAATCTAATCAGAAAAACGAACATCACTATCGATTTATGCACTGGCAAATTAAACGTCTTGGCTGAATTACCATGACGTTAAACGTAGTGCTGCTCGATAATCTGAATTAGGTGACAGTGTCAGGTTATTAGTAATAGTGCGAATCAAACGCTTGTACTGAGGTACGTATTTTACACGGTTAGCTAACATGTGGAACCTAGTAAAAATAAAATATCGCAAAGCTACCGTTATTTAAGGTCGTAGATCGATTGTTTCAGGCAGTCAAATAACTACATTGAAATTTTTCTGACATTGTTTGTGCGGTCTAAAATTTTCCGACCTAAAAAAGAATAAAATGTAAAATGAATAGAACCTGCACGAGTGATGGCCGATCGGAAAAAAATTCGCTTAAAGTACCATGTAGCTTGGTGATCAGCTGTGCCCTTCTCTGTCGTCGTCCTGGAGCGAGTGAAACAGCTGATCGCCCACTTGGCTGAGAGAGATGATCAGTCTGAGTCTTTCCAATGTCGTAATACACGCAGAATCCTTCGCTATTAAGTGGATTATAGAAATCATTTGTTCCGATGATCGAATGCGTTTGCGTAATTTAATATACACATTTTCTAAATATTAGCGTACGTTACAATATTTACAGAGGATACTTACTTCAAACGAGGCTTTTCAAATAAAATTGATGTGTTTTTGGAACTACATACGACTGACTTTTGTTAACCTCAAAAATTATTAGAATGACGTTTTAACGAAACGCTATTTGTGTGGCCGAGGAAACGTCGGTGTTTTTACAGAGCATGTATTCAAAGATTCAAGGAATGTATATAAAATGATGTGTATTGTACAATGAAAATAAGAATGAACCAAGGTTACGATGATGAGCTTTGTGTTGAGTAACTGGACAATACGCTAAAACTACAAGGTGTCTCTAAACTTAAGGCGTCTCTCTTTTCTTATTCCGTAAGCATCATTAAAGTAATAAATAAAAACTGGCATTTGTGTCCTGTACTAACATGCCGCTAAGAAAAGTGTGATCCCAAATACCAAAAACCCATAGTATCATATGTAATTGAAACCCATATATATACAAAGCTGTTAAGTATCTAAATATAAATATTGCTTTATATCGACAATACATCAGCCATGTCTTGATTTTAAAAAAAATTTCTGGTTGAAATAAATCATATGTATGGATGTATACGCCATATGTATTATGTATTAATTATGCGCTATCGGAAGACATCCCTCCTGTATGATATATTGAGCAATTAATCAATAAAAACAGCTTGTTTTTGGTCTTTGGTGCCGTTGTATTCTTTTATTTAATATTCCTAACCTGTTCTATCGCCTGTAACCCCTCTATAGAACGCCTGTAAAATGATATAACTTTTCGCACCGACAAATTCGTCCTTCCAATAAATATAACTTATTTAAGTACTATCGGTATCCCTGCACAAACGCATTTTTGTACGCACTTTTAGCTTCTAACTTTCATGTCGTTTTATAAACTTTTTCTTTGTTGCTTGAGAAAATAAAAATCATCGATGCCAATTAGTCAAACGACATATACGTGATTCTTGTTAATGCTTAAACTTAAAAAATGTGAATATCACTTTACGAGAAATAGCCTTGAAAATGTATCATGTCGTGATCTTGGCCCTAATAATAACTGAACTAGATCATTATTTCCACTTTACTACTATCATATTCAATTACTGAACGTTACCCCTATTGTTATGACCGCTATATGTAGCTGCCGCTCTACGAATGCGTGAAAAGCCGACTTTCAGCGATACTCAGCGGGCTCTTATGGAAGAAGTATACAGAAGAAGTCCATATATCGACAATCAGGCGCGTCAGGAGATCGCCTCTAGGATTGGCATCGCTGAGGAACAGGTACTTAATTTCGATTTTGTATTATACTAATAACAGGCTATGTGAGACATTGTAAAGATACTTGTTCCTAGTTTGCCTCGACCGGTCCAATATAAACGTTGCTAAATTCGTTAAGATGTGTATATACACAGTCAATTCATCCTCGAGTAACAGACGCTGAATTGTTTAATAGTCATGTATTTGTTTTCTCAAGTAAGTTATCAAACTTAAAGTTTCGAGTGCTCGCAAGCCGAAACGAGCTTTGATGCTTTTATGGTCACCACCGTACTGAGACCATTGCTAGCCACACCCATTGCCAGTGCTTCTGTTACCCATTGATTTCGTATTCATTTACTTGTATATTAGTTATTTCTGCCTATTAGGCTAATTTGTTGTTTCTACTCTTCTTTGTTGATTAAACCTGATCATTCGTTTCTATCGTCACCTTTCGCTAAAAAAAAATTCGCTAACGCTATATTATGATGTCATAGTTTTCTATACAACAACCGTTGTCATTGGGAAAAACATAGATAATATGGTACCACTCAAGTGAGTTTTATAACGAATAACCGTACGGATATCCGTAAAAGACCATTACAGCCGATGGCACTTGATTGCCGTTGCACTCGTATGGTAACGGCATGAAGCTGTAACTGCAATCCGTTTTTCCTTCGTGAGGCAGTTGCTTATAGGAGATGACAGAAATATTTTCCACATAGTTGCCCAGGAATCTAATTATTTTGTTAAAAAAAGATTTTGATGATAAATAATTAAATCTAAATATTATATATTTATAAATATTTTATCTGCGTTATGGCTTTTACACTGAAAAAATGTAGGACTTTTGAGGTCGTTACTTAAGTTCTACGGAAAAATTCAAGTAGTGGTTTCATAAAATCAAACGCTTATCCGATAATCAAAATGTCGCTTCCTCCGGACTTCAGTTTAGTTTATTTTTATTGAACTGTTAGATTATAATCACCATTAGCCATTAACAAGCATATTCGATGCAAGCTATAAAGGGGAAACATTCGTTAGAGTTTGCCGAACTTATTTTAGATCATTTAATTCTCTAAGACATGTCGACCAGCAGATATTTTGGCAATTTGCATCTGGTTGCTCAAGACAACAAGCTGCTACGGCATTGTTACGGACGAAAAGAACTATCTAGGTAGTAAACTAGGTAGTAAAGTGTGAGAGCGCTCTGTAATTTGGTCGAACTCTTACTTCGACCACATTTCATAGTCTATGCTTATTCTATCACAATAAAATACAGAAAGCTTTTATTAACACAAAGGAAATTTCGCAAGATAGATGTACACTACTTCTTGTTTTGATGTTTGAACTACTTGACTTCTTGATGTTTTTCTACATATTTGCGAACCTCTACATATAATTCTATGCATACACAAGACTTGTAAACAATGAGAAACTGTGTCATACTGTATTCTGGTATATATAAGTGTTTTTGAAAGCAGGCTTTGAGACCCTCAGGAGGTAATATACATTTGACTGAACTCTGTATATGCGTTATTATAGTAATATTCGGAAAATCATACGTATTGGTAACGTAAAGGTTATGGTGCGCAATATGTGACTGTCTCTTTCATTCTATTTCCAGGTCAAGAACTGGTTTCAGAATCGGCGTGCTAAGGAGAAGCAAATGCTTCGCTGGAGAGAAAATGGAGCCTCAACGCCTGCACCCCCTCCAACCCCCGTACCACACAGCGCTTTGACAGCTCAAGCGACGGCTGCAGCTGCTGCCGCAGCTGCAGCTGCAGTAGCAGCTGTTGCGTCGTCGCATCAACAATCGACGTCCTCGTCCCGATCAGACGACGAGAGTACCACGAAACAACAAACGAGTTCACAGCAACAACAGCTGCAGCAACAGCAGCAACAACAACCACAGCAACAGCAGCAACCACAACAAGAATCACAGACGCAACAGCTGCAACATTCACAGTCAAGGGCGCTCCATCAGTCGCACCCGCAAGCTGGACAGGGCCAAAGTAGCCAAAACCAAACACAAACACAGCAGCAACAGCAATCTCAGCATCAAGGCAGCCAGTCGCAGGGACAGCATCAAGCGTCTCAGCAACAAACACATCCGCTTCAGCAGCACCAGCAGCAACAGCACCAACCGCAGCAACAGCACCAACCGCAGCAACAGCAACAAATCGCCCCAGCATCACAACAGCAGCGTGCCGGAGGAGCTCAAGTTGGCGGAGGAATGTCCGGCGCTCATTTAAACGTGTCGCAGGCCTCGACAGCGGCCTCGCTGATGCAGAGTTTGGCCAACTCGAGCGGCTTCTCCGGAGCAAACCCCTTGTCAGGGCTATCGCCCGCTGCCAGTTTACCAATGAACCTTGCAGCAAACTTGCCAGCAGCCCTGTTGCCGAACTTTCATGCAAACTTGGCCCATCTAGAGAGTAGCTTGCATTCGCCTTATCCTCGAGAATGGCCGCACAGGCAGCTCTAATTAATTTATGGAACAATGTCTAGTAATACTGAGGTATATATATATTAATGTGAGCGATATCGTCACTTAGCATTGCGCATACATTATGTATCCACTGAGGAATAACAATTTATGTCTAAATGCAGTAGAGTGTACATATGGTATAAATCGAGAAAAAAATTAACGTTAACTGTATAGGATAAGCATATATAGACAGGTTACTCTCACCGGCAAAAGCAGCTGTCTAGGGTAAAACACATGTTTCGCATCCATATCGCGAATCTAGAATTCAGTCGTATTAACAATAGCTTCGTAGTCCCTATTTAACCGTGTATTCTCTCCAATGTATATGTAGATGGTGTACATTTTGAATTTCTGTTAACTTTCCATCAATGTACCATAATAGATTCCTTGATTTTATGATTTGGCCGAGAGTGAAGAAGAAGTCATATAGACGGTTCTGTTATTTTGAACTTAAATCATCACAATGCTAATGATATAACCTAAATGAAGCGGATACGATGGACACACACACACACAGTCACAAATGAGGGAAAGCGGGGAACGAACGAGAGGCAAAAGGATGGGGCTACGTGTATCATATTCCTATAGGTTATTAAATTGTATGTGCATTCCATGATGTGATTAATTAATATTATTAACGATAATAAAAATTCTAATTACTGCGATAAGTTGCGTAGTCTGGCAGGCAGCATTTTCTGTCTGCGAGCATCCTCAGCATTCGCTCAACTAATAGTTATTATATGTCTGTTTTGGCATGTGCGTTTTTGTCATGATTTTGTTTGGCAATGCAACTCAACTTAAAATGTACGTCGTTTTGTAACATTCTGCTGTACGCTGCATGGTCCGCAAGTACAAGAAATACAAGTTCCTTTGTAGATGTGGCCTACGTATGATATCGACAACTCGTTCTAGAGAAAAAGGACTGGGGTTTTACGCAGAAACACATAGAAGTGCTAAAGGAAAGGTTGTGTTAACCTGAATGATATCTCGTCCAAACAAAAAATCAAATACAGAAGAGAGTACCTCGCGTCTGCCAGCCAGTGTCGACGGCTGCTATAGCTCGCACTGATATAACTCATATCGAGAAATGCTGAAGAATTCATAAGGTTATTAACAACAAGATTCGATGAAGGTTAAAAGAGGCAGTAAAAAAGAGATTTCATGTTAAACCAAGGTCCGTTTTAACCGTTTTTTCCAAAATAAATATAATTTTAGGTTGACATTGAGGTAGCTTTCAATATTATGTGATCCTGAGGGTTTCTCTTTGCCTGGACCCTTTATCATTGAGCAAATACGACTACTTATGTCTAAACAATACATAAATGTGTTATTATCTAGAAGCTTTCAAATTTCTGAGCAATACCACCCCATGTCGTTCAATAGCTCTCCTGCAGTCTATTAAGGGATCATTTAATATTAAATGCAATAATGTCTACATAGCTATATTAAAGCATAGAACGATTACTGCTTAAGCACTATCAGTGTGTTATTATTGTCATCGTCAGTTCGCCATATGACGATTAATCAACTGGTTTCATTAGATAGATTTTGGGGTCTAATTCTTTAGGCCTTCTAATGCTTTAGTTGAAAATAATTATTGCGTTATGGTATAAGTTATTTATGCTAGCTAATTTTCGGATTGAGAAGGCTATATGTTTACTATGTCAAACATGCTCATAATTCTTAGGGGTTACATTTCAGATATGGTCAAAATTATTCCCCTATGACATCATTAATAGGCTACCATAAAGCAATAGTGGAGTAGTCATTTAAAAATAGGCCATCATTTCATCCGTGTTTTTAAGTTCATTAAGCAGGTACGTTACCATTGCACCATTACGGGACCATCAGAGTTGTCCTACCACACGTTTCCCCTTTCAGCCGCATTGGTCCTGTAAATAAGAACAAGCGATTTGTTTGACTACGATTATTGTGAGAACGCTAATTGGGCTAATTTCATCTCGTGAGTCCTTGGCATTGTTTTTAAAATCCCAGTTTACTGTGCGCAGAAAGAGTGGCTTAAAGTAGAGATGGAAGAAAAATAAACGTATTTGTTCTTAACTATAATGAGTCCTAAAATTGATTAACCACTTAATTTCACGTCCTTTTCGTGCTTCTGTGCAAAAAAAGAAGGATTTGCAATTTTACGAATTTTCTGCGCCCTGTCACTTTTTGCCTAGTGCACATGCAGTGTAGGTCCTACAAAATATAGGGAGGATGCTGCTGAAACACTCGTTTCTGTCATATAAAAAACCCGTAGTTAAACTGAGGACAAGATAAGGAGATAATTCCTTCTTCGAAATATTAGCGCCAGGCATAAGTAAATATTATCAAGTAAACGATGATTTAGGTAATTTATTGGTGTGAAAAATCTTTCAAAGCCATAAAAATTTGACCTGAGTACATGCAACGATTGTTTTAAAAATAAATGCAAAAAGCATGAGGCGGCGACTTGTGTTGGAAGTATTCGGCACTAAAATAAATCTTCAGATATTCTTTTTATTAGCTTTAGGTTCGAAGAAATCGAGTCTACAGCAAGAGCGGGGCCACAGGTAGATAGGCGCTAGAAAACGTGTTACTGTAGATTGCAATTGTTTCTCTTGACAAGATAAAAATATTTTTTCGTTTTCTAACAATAACAAAATATGATTCTCCCTTAATCAGCCCGTTTGTTTATTTGAATCGGGGTCAAAAATTGCTTAGCAAAAATATTCTTCGTGATTAGTTATTACTAGCCCGTGCCGAACACAGTAGTATCGTTTGCAGGTACATTATTACTGCGATATAAAATTATCATATAGTGTCGGCCATATACAGAGATAAAATCAACATTCTTGACTCTTCTTTGCCGGGTAGAGTATTATTAGTATTATCATTAACATTGTTATCATACCCTGCTGTAAGAAAGATGATCGGATCATTCTTCGAGCTATACAGCCCGTTCGCTTTTGTCTCGTTCTCGAAAAGGCGTTGAGCTCGACAGCAGATATGTTACGGCGACGCCTCAACGACACAATACAGTGTTGTCCGCATACATTCACACTTGACCCAGACGACTGCACGGACAAGCTTGCAGCCTCTTTTCTCGGTCCCTTGACCATCCACGGCCATCTGTCGTCATCTGACCCCTGTTAGTCCAAGCAAAAGAATAACTTTACAGACTCACCTCGAGGCAATATCATTAGGGCAATATAGGAACGCTGCCTTCTAGAATAACAGCACCGCTGGCCACGGCAGGCTCACTAAAGCGCCAGTTGTAACAACAATACTGCTACTAATAATGATAATAACTACAAGAATAACATCATTATTATTTGTTGATTGGTATGTGTTATTATCATTGTTGTTGTGATTGCTGGTGGTTGGGCGTCTGTCAATGGCGCCACCAGGTGACAAAAACGGGAACTCAAGAGGTGCAGATAACGGAACACATATTTAACCGGCATTAGGCTTACTTTGCTATATTCCATAAGGTTTTATAGCAAGACTAGGTTAATCATTAAATGAATCCATGTGTCGACCGGCAGTATAACGTTGTGTAGACTGCGTTTTTTTTAGCTCGAGTTAACACGCGTAATTGCAAACTCCGTTCGATCTTAGTTTGAAAAAGACGTTTTAACGTACCTTGTAAAAGGAAAACTTATTACAAGATTTCATGTTTTATATTGAACAGCGATTTTGTTAAGAGGACTGCAGCAATGCTATTGTGAGGGCCATTTGCTATCAGGTCGAACGTTAACTACTATATAGCAGTTTAAGGTCCCATAAAACCTCATGAAATTCGATGCTGATATGTCTAAATAGTAAAAATTTTAGTGTTAATTCACCGCCTATCTTTGACCTATGGAAATGCTATTAAGTTGTCTTCCTAAAAAAGTATTAGATTCATAATTGTTTTGAGAAGCGTACAAGGGTATATTGATGCTAGTACAGACATAATTCAGCCCTTACAGAATAAATAGAAATTCCTTGGATAGTTGGGTGGACTGAAGCCCTGTTATATATACTTCAGTATATATCGTTTTTACCAGCGCTGCGTAAGTAATCACGTTGATTTCTGCCTGCGCATTGAAGTTATTCAAATTTTAAGTCAATTAACGAAAAAAGAGCACAACTTATCTAGAACTAAGGCAGTCTATATAGATTTTGCAATATCTGCAATCCATCTGTGTAGGTAAGCAAAAGCAGGAACTCAAAAAACTTATCGAAGGTAAACAACCTGTTATATCTGTGTATAGGCGCCGTGTGTACGTAATTTGCATAGTAAGATATGGAATGGCTCGCTTAGCACGGTTCGCGTGTACCCTTCTAGAGAAGTAATAAGTGTGTAAGTATGACAGTTGTATTTTCTGTCGTTACAGCCGATAATTACGAAATCACTATGTACGCGTTGAACCTTTTTATTTGGTTGTATTGTGCCCTTATTTTTTTTTACTGTGGGCCATACGTGGTTTTTCGAACCACTTACTACTTTGGTTGCGCAAGAGCTGAACGAGATCTACTGGCTCTTTTCAAGATGCGCATGATATATGAAGGAAGTCTACTTATTTCCACATCGTTCGGTAGTTCCTTTTAGAAAGATTCAGCCAGGTATTAGGAAAATTACTGTTGTTAACTATTCGTTGCGTTGAAAAATAGTAGTTCGCGGATACCTACTTTGATTATTATGCAAATAACGATATATAAAAATATATATTTGTATGAATTATCTATCAGGGGTGACAAAAGCCAACTGGTACCGACCATGATGCCGTAAATGCGTTTAATGCACGAAAATAATAGTAATACAAAATCGCATTATACCGTATCGATTATTAAGTCTGATATAATTTAGCGCATGGTGAACGCGATACGTAGGCCATGCACTTTTCTCTGCTTGTTTTGTGTGTTATTTCTTATCTTTCCATTTATGTCAACATGAGGGTACATTTTTTATGGAGCGCGAAAGGTGCTAGAGAATAAGGAATTCTAAGCGATGGGTGGCAAGTGCATTAAGAGAATTTTGAACGTATCATAGCGAATTAATTCGGCAGCGGATGGTCAGAAAACAATTTGTCGCTGGGCGTAAACAAAAAAACTGCTCACGGATATTCACTATATTTAGTATAGTTTATTTGAGTTGAAAGGCTAATTTTATATCCTTTGTTAGGTATAGCCCAAAATATATTTTTCTTTACAGCGCCTAATGCCTTTCGGAATAAGTTTGCCATTTTTTAGCGTCGGCAGCAGTTTTTTTCTTTGCCAAAATAACAGAAGAAAAGATAATCAGTCGCTTCAATACAATTTTTGATATATACATGCGAGGCCATATAATATATTGTCTTATTTTTTTCCAGATCGATTAGCGCCTTTTTCAAAAACAAACGACTTTTCATCGAGACGCCAAGGAATTACCTGTAGAAGCAACTTCATAGATTTCTCATGAAAACATCTAAAGCTAATAAATTCGGCTTGACAATGGCCTAAGTTGAAGTTTTCCTTTTAGTCATACGGGCTATCAAATATGGCATTATAATATAACTACGCAACAGAATGATCACTTACAATGATTTCTTAATTTTAGCTAAAATTTTGCTCAGTGAATTATAAAGGAGACAATCTCCGAAAAATGCAACAATTGCAATAATAACTATTATAATACCAAGATCGGGAATGGTACCGTATAACCCCTTCAAGTAATTGTCTAGTAAACAGCAAACGGCTGACAAATATCCCGCCGATTCAACTTATTAAAACATTCTTTCCACGTAGACGGCTACGTCGATGATACGTTATACGATTAATGTGTGGGTGTCTATTCTATATTACATTGTGCGACTATTATTTGTAGATCTTCAGATGTTGAAGAGTGCGGTCGCGAGTCTAGATTTCTTCAGTGGTTTTTCTTCACTCTGCAATCCTCAGGTAAGTGTTACCGCACTACAGTCGAGAAGCCTTTTATCGGGTGCATTGGTGTTGGACAGTACAACAAAATTTGGTATTAGGAAGGCCAACTGACATTGAAAAATTAGGGTTTCGGCTCAGGTCAGGGTCACATTCAATTGTATAAATATGTACACAAATAAATATCTAAACCCAAATATATCGTCTCTTTTGCTCATGCGTTCTCAGTCTACTCACATAAATCACAGGTAACGCAACTTAATCATTGTCTATTATATTCATATACTAATTTTACAGTCCCAAATCCCTCCGACACCGCGATGGAGCGGAGAGAAGACATTTTTTTCGCCCGAAGAAAAGGCCATCCTCGAATCATACTTTAGGTAAGGGTTTTGGATATTTTTTCATAAACGTGCATGCTGATGGGTAACGCACCTCGAACCAGTGAATCTCAAGAGTATACAATGCCGGAAATTCGCAATCTATTATAAAACCACGCTGCGAAACTCCCACTTGTCTTTTTACCACACCTAAGTTACCTGTTTGTACTGGCGTAGGAATACGTATATAGTACACTTCATGCTATTAGGGTACA